GGCAGCTGTCGTTCGCAAGACGTTGAGAGGCCGCCATCTTGGAAATACCCACACAGATCAACATGTGACCGGAAGAATACAAAAATTCGATTTTTTTTTGCTTGGACAAATTATAACATACGCGTACCCATTAATCTATGAAGATATCCATAAATAATCTAAAAATAGTTGACAATAACGAGTGATGTTTTTTTTTCATGCCGTGTCTATACCAGCCTCGCGTCTAAGATGTTGATTGAAATCGGTGTAGGCCTACCATGTTCGGTGTTATTATGATCGGCAAAATAAACACCTACTGGCATTTTATTTTTAAAATTACGAAATCATACCTGAACAATCTGAAGTTGACCTCAACCAGGGAAATATCTTCTTCCACAACTCATCAAAACCAGCCTCACGCCGTTTCTGTGTTTCTACACGCTTCTGTTTCTGTGCTGTGCTAGCGGTGATTGTACGTTTTAGCCGGGCGGCATCACCTTTTTTTCCTTTACATGTTTTGTCATATAGCATCTCGGTGTTTGCAACTTGAGTGACAATTTGTTCCCCATTGACAGCGTCTGTACTTCACACGTGTTCAACAATGGGACTGTTTAATTCGTCCCGGCAAGTTCAAACTGCCATGGCATTGACGGTGTTAATTTATGCAGTGCTACGTGTGAGTGGGTCAAATGGATGTAAACAATGCATCCTATTAGTATGGCGGTGAAGTTGTAAGCATGGCGGTCCGAGCCCAAGAGTAGCGGCCGGGTCGCCAAGCATGGCGGTGCCGCCATGCTTTGTTCTATGTGGGGAGAACACTGAGTGTCAATGTTGTACCCTGATTGGGATAGTGGGTCAGTGTCAATGTTGAACCCTGCTTGAAATAGTGGGTCAGTGTCAATTTTGAACACTGATTGGATAGTGGGTCAGTGACAATATTGATTTTGAACCCTGCTTGGGATAGTGGGTCAGTGTCAATATTGAACCCTGCTTGGGATAGTGGGTCAGTGTCAATGTTGAACCCTGCTTGGGATAGTGGGTCAGTGTCAATATTGAACCCTGCTTGAGATAGTGGGTCAGTGTCAATATTGAACCCTGCTTGAGATAGTGGGTCAGTGTCAATGTTGAACCCTGCTTGGGATAGTGGGTCAGTGACAATATTGAACCCTGATTGGGATAGTGGATCAGTGACAATACTGAACCCTGCTTGAGATAGTGGGTCAGTGTCAATATTGAACCCTGCTTGAGATAGTGGGTCAGTGTCAATGTTGAACCCTGATAGGGATAGTGGGTCAGGTGTCAATATTGAACCCTGATTGGGATAGTGGGTCAGTGTCAATGTTGAACCCTGCTTGGGATAGTGGGTCAGTGACAATGTTGAACCCTGATTGGGATAGTGGGTCAGTGTCAATGTTGAACCCTGATTGGGATAGTGGGTCAGTGTTAATGTTGAACCTTGCTTGGGATTGTGGGTCAGTGTCAATCTTGAACCTTGCTTGGGATTGTGGGTCAGTGTCAATGTTGAACCCTGCTTGGGATTGTGGGTCAGTGTCAATGTTGAACCCTGCTTGGGATTGTGGGTCAGTGACAATATTGAACCCTGATTGGGATAGCTGGTCAGTGACAATGTTGAACCCTTATTGGGATTGTGGGTCAGTGTCAATGTTGAACCCTGATTGGGATAGTGGGTCAGTGTCAATGTTGAACTCTGATTGGGATGGTGGGTCAGTGTCAATGTTGAACCCTGATTGGGTCAGTGTCAATGTTGAACCCTGATTGGGTCAGTGTCAATGTTGTACCCTGCTTGGGATAGTGGGTCAGTGTCAATGTTAAACCCTGATTGGGATAGTGGGTCAGTGTCAATGTTAAACCCTGATTGGGATAGTGGGTCAGTGTCAATGTTAAACCCTGATTGGGAGAGTGGGTCAATGTTGAACCCTGATTGGGATAGTGGGTCAGTGTCAATGTTGAACCCTGATTGGGAGAGTGGGTCAATGTTGAACCCTGATTGGGATAGTGGGTCAGTGTCATAGTTGAACCCTGATTTGGATGGTGGGTCAGTGTCAATGTTGAACCCTGATTGGGTCAGTGTCAATGTTGTACCCTGCTTGAGATAGTGGGTCAGTGTCAATGTTAAACCCTGATTGGGATAGTGGGTCAGTGTCAATGTTGAACCCTGCTTGAGATAATGGGTCAGTGTCAATGTTGAACCCTGATTGGGATAGTGGGTCAATGTTGTACCCTGATTGGGATAGTGGGTCAGTGTCAATGTTGAACCCTGATTGGGATAGTGGGTCAGTGTCAATGTTGTACCCTGATTAGGATAGTGGGTCAGTGTCAATGTTGAACACTGATTGGGATAGTGGGTCAGTGATAATGTTGAACCCTGCTTGG